GATCGGCACCGTGTGCAATCGACACCGTGTCCGATCGGGAAATATTGCTGTGTCCGATTTGTAATGTGCGCAATCGGGACTCACTCCAAGAAGTGCACCCACCGACATCATACGATGCTGCATGAGGCACATCAGACCGACTCATCATCGAAGCCAACCACCAGCTCAGCCTCAGCACCCCAATAGGACAACGGTGCAATCGTCGCTCACTCATCTTTGGCTCGCTCATCACACTCAACATTACTCGCTACGGCCCTGGCTCAGATCAGCTCATCGGTTAATACTCAGCACGTACGGCTTCTCATCGATACAGGTTCAGAACTTACCTTCGTCTCTGAAGCACTCATTCGTCAGTTCAATATTCCTCGTCATTATTCTGTCATTTTCATTACCGGAATTGGTGGCGGAAAGTCCACGCAAACTCGAGGAGTTGCATTCCTCAAGCTCCGCTCACTTCGTTCAAGATCAGACGTCAGTATTCAAGCTCACATTCTGCAGACGTTAACAAACATCCTGCCATCATTCAACGCTGCACCCCAGGAATGGCCGCATCTCACCAAGTTAACCTTGGCTGATCCAGATTTTCTGACACCACGGCCAGTGAATATTATCATTGGATCTGATTCATATGGGCAGATCATCAAGCCCAACATCATTAAACAAGATACATTGATGCCAATTGCGCAGCTCTCAATCTTCGGATGGCTCGTTCTCGGACCTGTCGACACATCATCATCGGCATCTGATGCATCTGTGCATCATGCATCGATTCAGGAGAGGGAAGGTGCTCTCGACGAGTTACTGTCGAGATTTTGGACACAGGAAGAAGTGCCTACGAGCAACAATCTCGAGCTTACTCCTGATGAGCAAAGATGTGAAGAACATTTCAAGAGTATTGTTTCACGGGATTCAACAGGTCGATATACAGTTCGACTTCCACTAAAATCATCACCTGATACGCTTGGCGATTCGTATCTCACGGCGCATCGATGTTTGCAAAGTCTACAAAGAAGATTCTCCCGAGATGACAACTATCGACGTCTGTATCACCAATTTATGACAGAATATCGAGATCTCAATCACATGAAGAAAACTTCACCCGTTTCCAGTCAGCACACGCAATATTATTTGCCACATCACGGAGTGCTCAAACCAGACAGTGCAACCACGAAATTACGTGTGGTATTCAATGGCTCGAGCGCATCCACATCTGGCCGCTTACTTAATGATATCATGCACACGGGAGCCAAGTTGCATTTAGACGTCACCGATGTCTTGCTCTGGATTCGACAATTTTGACACCTAGTTGCCACAGACATCACCAAGATGTACAGACAGATCAACGTGCATGAAGATGACTGGAACTTACAACGGATTCTCTGGCTCGACGAACTGCTCAATGAAGTGGCCTATTATCTAACCATGGTCACGTATGGGACCAAGGCTGCCCCGTTCTTGGCAGTACGAACGCTGCTGCAACTGGTGGAGGACGAAGGCCATAATTTTCCCCTTGCAGTGCCGTTCATCCTTCAAGGTCGATACGTCGACGACAGCTTTGGAGGCGCTGACACTGTCCAGCAGTTAATCAAAATTGCATTGCAGCTGAAGAACTTGTGCATGGCGGGCGGTTTCCCATTGGCCAAGTGGCACGCGACTCATCCAGACGTGCTCACTGCGGTTCAAGCAGAGAAAGACCAGGGCTCACAAATTACATTTGACGATTGCGCAGCCAAGATACTCGGATTACGATGGCTTCCTCAAGAAGATTCATTCGCATCCGCAACAAGGATTTTGTCGCATACCGATCATCTCACCAAACGCCTCGTTTTGTCTGAAGTGGCTCAGATATTCGATCCACTAGGCTTTGCATCACCAGTCGTGATCAAGGCGAAGATGCTCTTGCAGGAGCTTTGGCTTCATAAGCTCCAATGGGATGAACCACTGCCATCCCAGCTCTCATCACGGTGGCTCATCATCAGAAAGGAACTCACTAGCTTGCGCAAGATCTCAATACCTCGGTGGTATAACACATGGAGTACATCGTCAGTGGAATTTCACGGCTTTTCTGATGCTTCTCAACTGGCAATGGCTGCAGTCGTATTTATCACCGTCCACGGCTCTAATGGCGCCACGATTTCATTGGTGTGCTCCAAAACCAAAATAGCACCGCTCAAGCGGCTCACCATCCCGAGACTTGAACTCACCGCAGCACTGCTGCTCTCAAGACTCATGCAATACGTTCAAGCCACCTTGAAGTTGAACGTCACAGCAACTCACCTGTGGACGGACTCTGTTGTGACACTCACGTGGATCAAATCTCATGCATCGCGCTGGAAGGATTTCGTGAGAAATCGAGTTTCTCAAATTCAAGAGCTCACTGCGAACGCACATTGGAAATACGTACCAGGTACGTCCAACCCGGCCGACTGCGCATCACGAGGATTAAGTACTGCTCAACTCCAAAGCCATTCATTATGGTGGACGGGACCACCGTGGATACTCACCCCTGAAGCTTGGCCATCACAACCCTCGCTTTCGGACGAGTTGAGCGCTCATGAGGCTCGTCCTGGCATTGCGCTACATGCGGCCGCATCTCAACCAGACTATCATTGGGACCTGATATATAGGTACTCAACTCTCAATAAATTATTGAAAATAACAGCTCTTTGTTTCAGATTCATATCGCTTCTGGGAAAGTGCCGATGCAAGCCACTGGACTTGCACTCAGCTTTGGAGGAGGCCAGATTATTCTGGATTAAGGCTACTCAAGCGGCATACTTCACGCACGAGATCAAGATGCCAACTCGAAACTACCAACTGCTCACGCATTCAGTCGATTGACTGCGTATATAGACGCTCAAGGGATCATCCGAGTTGGCGGCCGCCTCAACCAATCAGCACTAGCTCAAGACAACAAACATCAGGCGATTTTGCCTCGCCAATCACGGTTCTCAACCCTGATCATTGCACACGCCCATCTGCGTACCCTGCATGGAGGAACACAGCTGACATTGGCTCATGTCAGGCAAAAATACTGGATCATCGGCGGACGGGCTCCGGTGAAGTCTCATATTTTACGGTGTGTCGTGTGTGCTCGGCAGAGGGGGATCCGCGCTCATCAACTGATGGGCCAACTACCTCTCTCTCGGGTTACGCCGTCACGTCCGTTTACTCATACAGGAGTTGACTATGCCGGACCGCTCACCATCAAAACATGGAAAGGACGAGGTGCGAAAACATACAAAGGATGGATCTGTGTGTTCGTCTGTTTCTCCACCTCCGCAATTCACCTCAAAGTAGTCAGTGACTACTCATCAGAAGGATTTATAGCAGCCTTCCGAAGATTCTCAGCCAGAAGGGGAATTGCTCAGACCATGTATTCCGACTGCGGGACAACATTCATTGGAGCAGACGCCGCGCTTAAGAAAATGTTCATCCAGAGTTCCCAAGAACATCAACGAATCGCTCAAATTCTACAACATGATTGCACCAGATGGGAGTTCAACCCACCAGGCGCTCCACACATGGGGGGCAAGTGGGAGGTGGTGGTGAAATCCGTGAAGTTTCATCTGAGACGGACTATCGGGGAAACTTTACTCACAACGGAAGAACTCACAACGTTGCTTACGCAAATCGAGGCCATTCTCAACTCGCGGCCGTTAGAACCGTTGAGTGACGACCCTGAAGACGTCTCAGCGCTCGCACCAGGTCATTTCCTTATTGGAGGTCCAATCACTACTATACCCGAGCCATCTCTGATTGACCTGGCAACCTCACGACTATCTCGATAGCAGCTCGTCCAGCAGCGCGTTCAACATTTTTGAGCACAATGGTCGGCTCATTATCTGCAACGCCAGCAGGCGATATCCAAGTAGCATCATCCTAACACAACATCAAGGTGGGGTCCATCGTGCTGCTCACCGACGAACGCTCTCCACCGTGCAAATGGCCACTCGCCAGAGTAACAGCTTTGCACCCCGGCAAGGATGGACCTACCAGGGTGGTTACCCTCAAGACGGCCACCACGACACTCACTCGGCCAAGTGCCAAGCTTGCCATATTGCCCATTTCAACCGGATAAAGGATCAAGAATAAGGAATCATCAACAAGGTTGCTGATGGCGGGCGGAATGTTCGAGATTCCGTTAACGCTGCGCCGTCCGATCAGATGGCAGCATCGATCGGGTAACGACGCTCGATCACCGCGGCAGCTTGCGCCCGCACGGGCGCGCTCATCGCCAACGTCTTCCTCGCGATCGAGTCAATTGTACAAATGGCCGCGCGGTGACTAGAAGTGTAACTAGAAGTGTAACGTGTGCTCGGTACGCTTCGCATCGTGATTCCGGTTAATCGTGCACATCGCAGTGACCACGCTGCTTAGACTTTCGTATAAATTGTGAAATAGACCGCTCATCAACTCTGGTGCCTCAACACGACGACTCAAGCTCACGCGTGCGCGAGTGCCGACCGCCACGTGTCTCACCGGCTCACGGGCTAATCATCACGAAGAGGACGGCAATTAATATAATTGTCTCACGCTTATAAGGACTAGAAAGACACCTCATTTGTTCACCGCTCATCACTCTCAGGTCAGATTGTATCAATTTTGACGCATTAAAGACGGCTCAGACTGTGGCCTGAGTTACACAAAAATAAAGTGAATAATTAGTTAACACCTTCCACGCGCGTCCTTCTCATCCCGCTCTCATCGTCGGGATTAATCAGCGATTTCGCGAGCACCTTCACTCCATTAAAAGAAGAGCCACAGAAAGAAAGAAACACATTTGTTGTATCTCGCGAAAGTGAAAATGAATTGAATAGTAAAGAAAACTGGCGGGGAGAGGGTAAAACCGATGCAAATAAACGAAAAAAAAAAGATTGACAATAATGGAAAATACCGAAAAAAACTTAATTATTTGGATGCCTGCACCGATTGGGACTTTTTGCCGAACGGCGCTGCAGTACGTATACCTCTGATGCCTAATGGGAATCTATGCGAACCAGTGCATTGCGACGGGATTAAAATTATTGTAAAAGACACATGTGCTTTTGACCCGTTACTACAAGTTAAAATGAGTGCAATAGCAACAAATCCTTCTTATAAAGAAGCAACCTGTGCAATTGACAGCAAAATTACAAAATTAGCTGAAAAGCTTTTAACGGATGGCAAAGTGACCGCAGCAGCTAAAGTTGAGAGAACTCGAATTTTACGCAATGTTCCAATTATTAAAATGTCGCAGTACACACGACAATTGCAAACTGTAGATGCAAATTGCAATGCTGCTCATCTTGCGGAATACATTTTACATCCGAGCTACACAAGATCCCTTTGTTGCAATGCTTGTTTGCAATTCTTGTAAAAAAACCAGCGAACGCAGTTTTACGTTCTTGAATATTAATGTCGATATAATCCTTCAAAACGGACCAGGCCATATGCAAGACGCAATAAATAGTGCGATCAATACAAATTATATTTGCAAAAATTGTAAACAAACGCAAGATTATAACTTGATATATGGCCCTCATGTTCTTATCGATATGAGCATTCTGACAGACGAAAATTATGTTCCATCAAATTCAGCAAAATTGCTCTTAGGTTGTATAAAGCTCAACGCAATAAGTAAACGCGTTGAAGTTGAGGGAATATATTATAACTCTTCGAAAAATGTTGGAATACGTTCAAAACTACAAGATAATTATCATAAAATTCACAGAATTGTCGAAAATCGGCCAGCGCCTCACCTAGAAGCTCGTAAATGCGGCTTTCTCGGGAGAAAAAATTATTTAAAAAATATTCACTTATCGCCAGATCTTTTTGGAAAACATTAAGACATGTTCAAAACTACTAGATAATTATAATAAAACTCACAGAACTGTCGAAAATCGGCCAGCGCCTCACTTAGAAGCTCGTAAATGTGGCTTTCTCGGGAGAAAAAATTATTTAAAAAATATTCACATGATTTTTATCATTAAAACTCTTCGGAAAATGTTGGAATACGTTCAAAACTACAAGATAATTATCATAAAATTCACAGAACTGTCGAAAATCGGCCAGCGCCTCACCTAGAAGCTCGTAAATGTGGCTTTCTCGGGAGAAAAAGTTATTTAAAAAACAATTAGAATCAAAAGCCATGCGATCCGAGCTTAGGTCTTTGACAGCCTTATATTAGTTACTGTATACATATATGTCTATATATA